CAGCACGGCACGCGGTTTTATGCGGTTTCTTGAAATTAAGCTTGTGCTGAAGTCCGTCCGTGCTCACAAAGCGCTCTAGTGAATTCAAGCGCGGATTTCCATCCCTACTGAAAGATAAAGCCGTACCCGAGCCTAGCAAAGAAGGGCGCTGTACTTCGCTGGGTGCTCGCCTTATCTCAGGTTTCTGTGAATATTTGCAGGCTTATCTCTAGGGGATGGTTTTGGTCCTTTGAATTTTTACGGATTGAGTATTTTTTGCTTTATACGTCGTTACCGCAGGTTTGTTATTGGGAGGTTATAGATACCGCGGACTTCACTTTGGTGTTACAGCGGCGTAGGGAATATATTTATGGGTGTCTGTGAAACACGAGCGCAGCCCGCCTCGGGAAGATGTTGGGATCGCAGGGAGTCGCTGCCAAGGCAGCGCCGTTATTAAAAGACCGGGTATTTTCACCTTGTCAGCACAACCGATGGTCATTTCGAGGGCGGGAGGAAGGTTTCAAACCCCATTATTTTTTCTGTTCCTGCGATGAAATGTCCCGCTAAGCTGTACAGCTGGTTGGAGTAAAATTCAGCGAAACTGTGGCAGTGGCTGGGGGCAGCAGGAAGGAATAGCAGGTAGGGAGCTCTCTCTCTAGATGTTAATAAAGAGGAAACCGTTTCTAGCTTGTACAGGCGATAACGGAGAAACTGGTTGCTATTTAAAGGCCTTAGTTCCCATCAGCTACCACTCCTGGATGCTTTGGGTTGGGATCTGCGGGAAAGGGGTGTCTTTGCCTTCCCAGGCCAGGAGGAGAGGAGAGGGACAGTATGAAACTGGGCTAGAAATACAGCGGTGTCCTCTGTCAGGTGTCCAGTCGTGTGATCTTTCCTTCCCAGGTGTCCAGCTCTGCCGGTCCGCAAACCAGCTTGAAAAGCCACGTGTTCAACGTTGCTGTTCTCCCGCAGACGCCCAGAGCGCCTCAGTTTTCCCTCGGCTCCTCTTTGCACATGGCTGTAAGTGTGAACGCACGCCGCTGACTGACGGTCTCTAGGAGAGTAAAGCGAGGGGGAGGGGAAAAAAAAAAAAAGTTGAAAATCTCGATATTAAAAGTGATGACTGCATAGACTGGAAGGGAGAGGGAGGGAGAAAAGAGAAAAAAAAAAACATTTAACGTGTTTTTTTAATGGAATTGTTAGTGTTTTGAAAACACCTTTTCCCGAGAAGCCATTAGGAATGGCAAGAGTCAAAAACCGTGGGTTAGAGAGACTACAGTGAATAGATCTTGCCAGTAATTCCACCGTAAACGTTATTTATCAGAACTGCAGCCCACCCACATTAGAAAGTTTTCGTCCATCGTTCTGACATCAGGAACACAGACTGCAACGCACGTGGAACACGTTCAGACAAGCCCTTTGTGTCTGCATCCGTGGGACTGAATTACCGTCTCTTGCAGCATCAACGCTGGGGATGCCCGTTTCGATGAGAGCCGTCTCTCTACTGTTGATATTTCCCCGACTGTGTTAATTGAAAAGATGACCTCGAAGCTTAAAGTTGGTTTTGTGAGCTCTCCGACTTGGGTGCATGCCTTCTCCATGTGTCCCCATCCCATCTGTGGGTGAAGTCCAGCCTTCCCCCCTACTTGTCCTGCTCTCTCTCGTTCTTTGGTCCTGCGGGGAGGGATCCCGCGGGCAGGAGCTAGCGCGGAGCTTCAGGGCTCTGCACCCAGGCCACCCGTTGGGACGCGCAGAGAGCCAGGACCCAAGAGGCGGGGAGTTTGATGTAGACGTCGCCTTGGCCTCCTAGCTTCGTTGTGGTCTGTGGGGCTCTCAAAGGGGGACCAGGATCGTAATCCACTGAGCAGCAGTCCTGAGCTGAGTGAGAGAGGGCAGGCAGAGGTGAGAACCGGCAAGGAACGTGGACGGAGCTGATGCCAACCCTTCAGGCAGGAGCTGCCTGCAGGGAGACGGAGAGCTGGGTCTACGATCTCGAACGTAGCATGCAGTCATCTTGGGCGTCCCTCCTTCCTGAGGATTTCTTCAGAGCGTGCGAGGTGCCAGCAGTACGCTCAGCATCGCCAAACAGAACTCCTGCGCCCTTGGGTGCTCCCCGACAGACCAAAGCAGACGGAGAGTCCCACGCGGCGCAGGAGAGCAGATGGGGCAGACCTCCCAGGGGCAAAGGACTTCTAAGCCACCACAGCCTGGAGGCACGGGACCAGGAAAGACCAAAGGAAGCAGTGGGAGAGGGATTAGTGAAAAGTCCGTGACATGACAGCCTTGTCAGGATATAAAATAGCGGTGACCTTTCACGGGCCGTAATAAAACATGCTCAAACTGCTACTTGGAGCAATAGCCAGCAATGTATCTTTCTGCTCTTGACTTTTTGTTGTTGTCATTATTGACAAAATTGATGGGAGAGATGTCTGGCTGAGCCGTGCAGGGCTGAATTTTATAGCTAATTACACACCACAAAATTCAATAGCGCCATAAAATACGTTTTACTGAGGGGCACCTCGCAACCTGTGAGTCCTCCCTCTGGGAGAGACAAATAGGCCTTGGAGGCAGCTATGAAGCAACCATAACCTTAAATCTTCCTATCGTAAAACTGCACTTCCTTGCATCAACGTGATTGAGTTCTGTTCATCCGTCTTCAAACTCCGTCGGAATTAGACTGGCTTCTTGCCTGAAGAACAAGCACAAAATGTTAAGTCTTCCCATACCTCTAGCCTTGTCTTTGAGCGTCCTGCTGAGAAAGGTCACAGCAAGTTTGGTGACTCCGTGGTGGTTAAACTGGGCAGACGTGTATACTGTCTTTTCCGTCAGTCAAGTTGCCTGGTTCCCCCGTATCTTAAAAGGAGCCTGAGCTTGGCTCTGGCCGAATGCAAACTGAGGTTGGGTTTGGGAAGAAGACGGTTCTGTGAGCATATGAAGAGGTGCTCCTCTCCCTTCCCTCCCTCCTCCCGCTCCCCCAAAGGGACCCCACCGTTAATTTTCAGCCCGCCCTTTTTTACGGAGCTGTATGCAGCAGCGCTGATAACACAAATAAACCCCGCGGCTCTTGATGCCCGTTAGATATGTGACGCTTTCACATCTCAGAAGGACCGATGGGGTTTTATTTAACCTCTTCGCAACAGTCATTCACAGGCTGTGGTTTCTCCTCTGATGTGTTGTGGGTGAAAAACACTGGAAGAAGATGAACTGGGGGTTGGGTGGCATTTGCGGTGTGCTGAGCTGCACAGGAAACCTCGCCATGGCGGCGTCCAGGCCAACGTCCCGTCTACGACCCAAGGGCAGCAGAACGGGGTGCGGGTTCGGCAGGGCGGCCCGACAGATGTGTGACCAGCACGGTTCAGTGGGCTGCACTCAACGTGGCCGGTGGAAACCTGCAATTTGTTCCTGAACCTCATCGTTTCGTGTTCCAAAGCAGATGAATTAATTGCCCGTATCCTTAATTTAGCTTATTCTCTCCGTATTTTGTTCGTGATTATGGAATGAGCTGGATGCTTTTCCTACCCAGCTGAACTATTTAATTCAGTGACTTCTCGTAGCTGTTAATTCCGCAGGATTAAGGTTCACAAACACATGCAAGTTAACTGCCTTTATGCAATTAAGCCTCTTCGTGCAGCACGGTAATTCCTGTAACACGCTGCCCGCCTTTGGCTAATGGTAATCTTGTAATGGAAGGATCAGAACATTTTTAGACAGATTTAAAAAAACAAGAGAGAAAGCTTTGGAGCTTTGCTTCCCCTATGTTCCAGTGGAAATGGCTGAGTCATTTTCAGGGTTTCTTTTAAAAACAAATCCAGCCCAACCACATCAGACTATACCAGAAAACTACGCAGGCAATGAATTATATCTTCATCCAGGGAGTTTTTGATCAAATTAGATTTTCCTGTATCTCCTCTTAGATGCTGTAGGTCAAAAAAAGAAACTCTTCTACCTGTGAGCGTGGAGGTTGTGCACCTGCAGGGGAGGACGGGGTGCGCTGAAAACACCCCCGCTTGCCTGGGCAGCCTGAAAGTGGGCATAAGCTCGTAGTTTTATGAAGGAGGAGGCGTTTGTCTCTTTTTCGTGGTTTATAAGCCCCTTCTGAACCAGTTTGAGGGACTTGGGAAAGGTTCAGCCCATCCATCCCTTGCCAGTTTTAGATCTAAGAACTAGACCTTTAAATTCAGAGACTCCCTTAGATTTAACGACAGCAAAGCAAACTCTCATTCAATGCATTTTTGGGTGAATCTTCCCATGTCTCTGGCCTTGATGCTCATGGTCTAATATGTTTATTGAGGTGCTGGAGGACCGCGTGACAGTGATTGAGCCCCATCACCTCTCCTTTGTAGACCCGGAGATTCCCAGTGAGAAAATCCTGTTCAACGTGACTGTCCCTCTCCCTCCCGGCCAAGGCAAGTGTACCTATTGGGAACTTGGCAGCTTGCTGCTGAATTAATTGCCGTGCTTCCTGAGCACGTCTTGCGTTTTCCCTCAGAGTAGCATTCTGCGGAGGCACCCGTTAATCTGTTCGGCCTCCTTCATTAGCTTTTAAACGCCTTGTTTCTTAACCCGATTTCTTTGGCTTGTTTAGGAGTAAGCCGCAGAGCTCGGACAGTTTTCTTATTGTTGCCTGGAATATATTGAATGTTGTACCCCGTGGCTTTCTGCTTTCCACCTCTCTGGGGAGAGGTATTTGAGGAAATGGCTAAGTGAGGAATCGCTGTTTAATTTGTCATGACCCAAGAACCCACCCTCGATGCAGTTACAGCCATCTGACTCCTTCAGGAACCACTGAAGGTGTAAAAAGAAGCACCTGGGGTGGGGGAGGAGAAAAAGAACCTATGGCCTTTGGTATCTTGTTTGAAAAGTAAGACGGATTCCTCTTGTTAATACTGAGCTCTCTGCCTCCACAGGCATCGTGGAGCACAGAGACTGGCCTCTCTCCCCCGTCAGGTATTTCACCCAAGCAGATATAAACCACGGCAAGATTGCGTATCGCCCGCCGACTGCAGCTCCTCACTTGAGAGAGATCATCGCGTTCTCCTTTGCGGGTAAGGAACCGAATGTTCGTTGTAGTGCCGTGTCGGACTGGTAGAGGTAGCCGGACTGCTGGTCTTCCTCCGGTCCTGGCGTGGCTTCGTGGTTACGTCCACGCTCGCGAGGACACGAGGCTCGAACGAGAGAAAAAGGAATCTGCCTCGGAGGAGCCTAGCAAGAGTTCACTGTTTCTTGCGACTTCCACAAGATTTCCCGCTGTGGTGTGGTTTAGCAACGTTCAGTGAGTTACGGGGATACGGCGGCGTTCGCCGCAGCGTTAGCGTGGGCGGCGCTGGTGCTGGGTGCTGCGCTGGGCAAACTGCTGATCTGCTGCTGCCTGGTTAGGAACTGGTGTTCCCCCTGCCGTGCTTGAGATCTTTGCTGCGCTGGGGGTTTAGTCCTTGAGATTGAGCCTAGAATCGATGAACTGAATCAATTTAGCCAGGATATTAGAAGATTTCTACCATCAGAGGAGAAACAGTCTGGAGCAGGAGGTGGAGGGGCAAAACCAGGACAAACGGCAGGCGTGTTTGACCAGTTGATGCGCAGGATTGCGTGGTGAAGTGACAGTACGTGGTAGATGCAGTTCTTTGCGTCGCCATGCCTTCTGCTGACATCAAGAGGGGTTTCACAGTTTGGAGGATGGAGCAGCACGTGCTTTCTCGCTACCTGGAGCGAAGGCGAGGAAAGAGATCTTTCCTTGGTGAGGGAGGACTCCAGGCTGGTTGAATGTCAGCGCTTGGTTTTTCCAAAAGTTCTTCAAATCCACCTCGGTATCAGCTTTCCTGTCCTGACCGCAATTCCTCTGTGCTTGTGTTTGTCCCGTCAGGTCTCCCAGAGTCAGTGAACTTCCGATTCACAGGTATGTGAAGCTTTTGCTCTTTCCTGGCCAAAGCAGTTTTTATCCTTGTGCCCTTCATGTTGCCTGTTCATTCCTTGGAGTTGAGTTAGGGGCAAACAGAAATGCTCTTGGCAGGCGTGAATTGTCCGTAGACAAAGGCGTAGGTTGACGAGGTGGGAGAGAAGTCGGCGATGTGGGGTGGTGGTTTTGTACAGAAGGGTGAACTTCCCAGGTGTGAGTCCCTGAAAACGCATCCCTACGCTCAGGTGTGTTTTTTGTCTGTGTCTAGTGTCTGATGGAGAACACACCACCCCGGAGATGGTGTTTGTCATTCATTTGCTCTCCGCGGAGCAGCAGCCTCCAGTCTTCCAGATCACAGCTCCGTTCCTGGAGGTCAGCCAGGGGGGCAAAGCCACCATTGGTGAGTAGGGTGGAAGCGATGGGGTGCAGAGCTCGGCCCGAGGCACGGTCTTTACGGCCAGGAGGCCACGCGGATGGAGCAGGGGAGAGTTTTGGTCTCACCTCTATGTGTTTAGCTGAGGAGCTGTGGTTGTGCGGCCGCAACCGCTGAGAAAACTGTGCAGAAAAGTGCCCGGGGGCGTGGCGGTGCTCCTCCAGCGTACGGCAGGTCCCTTCGTTGGCCGAGGCAGGGGAGAGCAGGATCAGGGACCCGCTGCCCCTCTGCTTTTTCCCCCTTAGGCTGCTCTGCAGTTGCTGAAGCGTTGGGTGGTGGTGTGATCTGGTACGCCGGGTTGTTTAGGATAAGCCACTGTCTGCTTGTGTCAGGAGGTTCTCTGGGGATTTTGTAGATACCCCCCTGCTACACGAACATCTCTCTCATAAGCCGAGGGTTTGCATAGCTGTCCTTTGGGAGCCGTACTGGTAATAAGTTCTCTGACACAGCCTCTGCTCTGCGCATCATCAGGGGACTAATTAATTATTTCCATGAAACCAGCAAGCTCTTGGCCCAGGGCAGCTCCAGAATTATTTTACTTTTCACCTACTGACCGAATTGCAGTTTATTGACTCTGTGCACAAGAGCGCATCGCAAAACCTAAGGACTATTCCTGGCGTAGTGTCTGAGGATGCTGAAGCCATGCTCTCTTGTCCCCGGCACAGGGATCCAGTTAGCCGTGAGCGACACAGATACGGCCCCCGAGGGTCTTTTCTTTGAGCTGGTGAAACCTCCCCGTCACGGCGTTGTGCTCAAGTACGGCGCAGGCGTGCAGGAGCGCATGAGAGCAGGTGAGTTGAGCAGAAGTCTTCTTCAGCGCGGGAGGAGAGGGGTCAGCGCGTGCCTGTCCGCCTAGCTGGTTCAGTTGACCAGGAGGAGACAGATGCCTCTGGCGGATACGGCTGCATCCATAAGAGAGTGAATTTTCTGCCTGGAAGCGTGTGACTGCAGGAGGGAGCGCATCAAAGATGTTTTCCCAGTTGTGGTTTAGTTCCTGGCTGACTCAGCGCGTTGCCTGCACCGCGTAGGTGTGGGCTCCTTGCCAGTCGCTCTGCTGTGATGCCTTTAACACGCTCTTTTCTTTTGGTTTACGCGGTAAGTTGTATCTGAAGTCATTTCACGAAGGAACGTAACGAACGTTTCTCCTGAAGCCTATGGAAACCCGTTGTGGTCCCAACGGTCAAAAGCTCCCATGGAGTTTTACTGTGGATTTGGGTGGCAGGGGTTTCCAGCGTGTGATCAGGTGAACAAATACTATCTGTAGGAGAGTAGCGCAAGCAGAAGACAGAAGCTTTTTTCCTAGCTGTGTCAGGCACGAGCTTACAAAGCAGCTGGGAACAAAAGGAGCATCTGTGCGTTCCCAGAGGATCTTAAAGAGTCGCTGTGCCTGTGAAACGGTGAAGGTTACAGCTTTTCCTCTGCCTTGCGTACATACCGGCTCCTTAATAAACGCTTTCATGACTTCCCTGTCAGGGTGGCGGCATTAAATGCCAGTTTAGTACATGAAGTCTGTTAGTAAATTGGGGCCTCAGGCCGTTTGACTTGGATTGGTGCTCTGAACCAGAGGGTTTCTGATGAGTGCGTTTTCTTTTTGGGAAGGCGACACCTTCACCTACGAGGACGTCACTCGAAATGCTCTGCAGTACGTGCACGATGGTTCGTCAGCAGCAGAGGACAGCATGGAGATCTCCGTCACCGACGGCGTCACCACAGTGACCACGGTGCTGAGGGTGGAAGTGGCCCTGCTGGATAACGACGGTCCGCAGCTGGCCCCGGGCTGCCTGCTGACAGTCACGGTGGCTAGTAAAAGCTCCGTGACTCTCTCTCGGTTGCACCTCGCTTATGTTGTAAGCTTTCATCTGTTTCTGAAGGCAGCGAACGCTGCCGGCCTCCCTTTCCTCGTCCCCCCGCAGACCCTTCGCTGCACACACCTCTCTGCTCTCAGCGTGGATTCTTGGCAGGGAGCTCGAGGTTTCACCGTGGCCTGACTTGGGCTGCCAAAAAGGGGATAATAGACTCTTTCATCCCACAGGGGTTTAAGGCGATCCCTGTTTGACTGAAACGGAGGTGAACTGCCACGCTAAGCATGAGAACTGTTTTAATCCCAGATTTTTCCTATCGAACAAACTTGCTCATAAAGCGCATGGATTTGCTAAGTGATAATCCCTTGAACGTTTCAGCCCCCTCATCCCCCTTCCAGAATTGCCTGGTTCTTTTTCTGGACGTATTTGATACAAGTCTGGGGTCTGTCCTGTCCTCCTCTTGAGGAGGAAGGCTGACAGGGGAGCTGCTCAGGTTCAATCTGAGTAAGAGAACAGTTTGGGAAAAGAAGATTTAATTCCTGACCCGTATGCTGAGGATATGATGATTTCCGCTTTGGGTCTAATCTTTCAGGCAACCAGCAAAAACTTTTAGAAGAAAGATGACATCTGAGTTGAGATATCATAGAGATGGTTGTACTTAATGTAGTTTAAAAGAGCCAAAATCAGCTTTCAGTTTAACGTGAATCTGGCTTTTGCAGCATTGCTCTGCATTAAGCTTTGTTTTACTAAGAACTGAGCTTAGCTCTGTGTCTCACGGGTGGGCAACAGTTTCGGCCTCTGCCAGCTGTCGGCCAGATTTTGGCGCACGTCATCTGGAGTCAGGAAAAGCACGTTACGTAAATGGTCCAGTCCAATAGAAGCGTCGAGTAGTCCAAACCCCAAAATACCAGGTTTAGGTCTGGGAGATTGTGCGGGTGTGATACAAGGACACAAGTAAAACTTCTCTGAGCCGAGAGGAAATGAAAATCTGTTTTGTGGTAGATTCTGAGAGCGCCAACCCAATCGACTCTCGTCTCGTTGATAGAGCTTCCTTGAGTAGTCCTCAGCTGTGGGTCTGGGGCTTGATACGTTTCCCTATAAAACATTTTATTCCTCCTTCCATTTTTAGTGGAGGGAAACAAAAGCTAATCTTGTCTTGGTTCGATTTGGTTTGTTTCTTCGTGTTTAGGACAACAATTCTCCCGACTCGGAGATAAGAATCCAGTTAATCTCTCTGCCTGCGTACGGCACCCTCTTACGGATGTCTGGCTCTCGTGCTGAAGGGCTTTCCAAGGTTTATAATTTCACCATGGAAGACATCAACAACCAGAGGATCAGGTATCAAAGAGCTATTCTCCTTCAAGCCGTGCCTTTCCGCAGGGATCTCTGGGCTGTATTATGTTAGTACAAAGTGCGTCAAAGAGATTTTTTTACCTTTCTTGGCTCTTGTATCGTATGGGATTCTAACTGAGAGCATGTCCTATGCACGGAATGAGGTGTTTCCGCACGTCTGAAATGCCAGTAGTTGGCGTAGCTTCACATTACGGGAATTTTGTCTGCGTCCGCAATGTCGTGGTGATACTTTAGGTGGGCGACACCTGGAAGGGTGATTTAAAAGAACTCAGGGAATGGACGCGAAGGAGGGTTGGGAACTGAAATACCGCCTCTCTTTCAGGAGGTGTGCGTTCACCTCTAAATGCAGGGCTGAGATGTGTTTGCCTGACCCAGACCGCGTTCTGACTTTCGCAGCTACTCCACCACATTTGAGACCAGCAATCAGCCCGTTACGGACATCTTCCACTTCGCCGTTTTTGATGCAGATGACAACCGGCTCGACAGGCAGATGTTCACTGTCACAATCGCGCCTGCCCAGACAATGCCATCGCTCGTTGCTTTTGCTGACCATATCACTGTAAGTGGCTGCCCAGGGTACTAGGAACGGTGACAGGAATGTCTTAGATGCGAGGAATTGAACAGCTTTCCTGGACTGAGGGAAAATCGATGAAGAAACACGGTGTTGCACATGCAATCCTGTGAGCGCAAAGGGTTAACTAATTATTGGAGGCCAGAGGAGGCGGACAGTACAGCTGTATCCCTGAACCTCGTCTGCTTACATCTGGACGGGAGCGGGGTTCTCCCTAGCGCGTCCTGCTGATAGCAGTGGAACAAGTCCGACTCGGCCCTTTTTAATATTTCGTCCCTTATTTCACCAGCTTATCCATAACAGATGAGCAGAAGGCAAGTCTGAAAACATCTGGCGCTTTGGCCTGATACGCAACATTTCAGGCTCCTTATCAAAGCCCTTTGAAGCGATCTCCCTCCTTTCCAGCTTTGCATTCCCCCTCCCTTGCCTTCAAAAGGCTCCCCTCAACAAGAAACGCAGATCTCGCCTTCCAAGAGGTCAGCGTGACTCTGCCGGTTCTCTTCTTGCCCTGATGAAGCACCCACCGGCTCTTCTTGGGGGCCAGGCCAGCTTTGTTCTTCCCCTCCCACCTCCCCTCCCAGCTGATCTCATGCCGAACACATCTAGGGGAGGATGGGACAGGACCCGCGGGACTGGGCAAGCCTCTTCCATGGAGGCAGGCTTGTTGAGTAACAGTTTGTGCGTTGCTGTGCGTTGTGCGCATCGGCGGGGGTTTTGCCACGTGCTTTTGGTTTCCAGGTGGATGAGGGAGGCAGGGTCCCGCTGCTGGCTCATCACCACGTAGCTGCGGATTACGATACGGCTGCCAAGGAAGACCTGAGGGTCACAGTTCTCACTCTCCCTATGTACGGCTACCTTGAAAACACTAAGACAGGTAAACTGCTTGGCTATCGCTTCTTCCTCTTGGCTGATGAAAGGGAACGTAGGGATTGCCATGCTGGAGCACGTTCCAGTCTGTCTCAGTGCGGTGCTCGTTGGCATCGGTTGATCCCAAAGAGCTCGTGAGGGCAGCGTTACGAGATAAAGTGTCTCTGGGGAGCGTTGCCTCCTAATTCTCGTTGGTTGGAGACGGGTCGACGTTGTGGGACTGGGGCATTAAGAGCCTTTTCAAGCCCGTGTGTTGTATTTTCCTCATGCCTTATTTTGGCTGTCCTTGTTACGGCAGAACAAACTTTGCTAAATTCCTCTCAATGTCCCAGCAAGCTGTAAGGCTGTGAGAGCTGTGGCAGAGCACGGCTGGTAGCGTTCTCTTCATCTCACTGTATTATCGAGAAAAGGTAGGATTTGTACCGTATTGTGCAAAGGCGTTCATCCAGGAGACTCGTCTGCTTAATCCTACGTGTGGTCCTAACAGGAGCGGCGTATATCATTTGACTTAATTCGTAACTTGCCTTGTAAAATATCACATGGCGGCTTGTTACAGCAGCGATTGCCTTTCTTCTGGAGAGCACGGGTTGCTAACCATTACGCGTCACCCCTCCTAATTGCGTCCTACGAATGAACTCCAGTTTGTGCCATTTTGGTAAGGGGGAGCCTCTCTCCTCGAACAGGCAACGGCTGGGTGATTTTCTTGGCTGCGAGACCTGGTTTTGCAGGGCGAAGCTTGATGTAGAGATTGTGTTGAGGCCGGATGGCCCGTTGTCTCATCTCTGAAGAAAGCCTGGGCAGTTCTGGACGTGGGATCACTTGTACTACACGTAAAACCACAGCTTCCCTGATGCCTACTCTAACGCAGCAGACGTTGCTTTCTACAAGGGTCACGAGACGTGCGAAAGCCACGTTGTAGGAACGAACGTCCTTCTGCACCCTTCGCCACGTGCCAGTCTTCTCCTTACCCTGCTGCTTTTATTTTTAGGTCATCAGTGAACGGAACATCCTTTCACTAGTGGTATTCTGGTTTGCAGGTGAGAGTTTTGGCCCACAGAGCGAGTCTGCCGTGACCGCAGACGCATCCTTTTCCCTTCAAGATGTTCTAGAGAACAGCATTTACTACTTCCAGAGCCTCCACGAAAGCATCGAGCCGACGAGCGACGTTTTCAGCTTTTACGTGAGCGACGGCTTCAGCCAGTCTGAGGTGCAGAGCATTAACATCACAATTCAGGTATGCCTCTGCTCACTCCTTTGTAACACGTGGGAAGGGGACTGAAGGGACCTGCCTTCCTCCTATCTGATTCCTTCCCCTAGCGCAGGCACGTAATTCCCCGTGACGCCAGAAGAACAGAGGTGCATTGCAGCGTCTTCCCCAGGGCTTGTTTCTTAGATGTCTCCCCGCCCTCTTAGAAGCAGCCGGGGCGCTGGATAGATTTGGAGAGACTGGTGTAGCCCGATATCGGCACCAGTCATCCTGTCATTTGGGAGGTTGTATTTCCTTCAGGCGGGCAGCGGGCTTTTCCCCTCGGCCGTTTCCCTTGATTGACTGTGTGCCTTTTGGGACCAGCGGCAGAACGACGAGCCCCCAAAGATGGTGCTGGAACCGGTCAGGGCGCGGGAGGGCTCGGGTCTGGTCGTTACCAACTCTTCCCTCAACCTGCGGGACTTGGACACCCAGAGCAGTGAGCTTGTCATCACGGTCACCGAAAGTCCTGAACACGGTAAGTCCTGACAGGCCGCGGGGGTGAGAGAATGCGCGCGTGGGTCTTTGTGCGTCCGTGGGTCTTTAGAGCTGCGTGTCCGTAGGTCTGGGCGTGCATAACGGCCCCTCATGTGAGCGAGGAGTATTTCTATAAAGCGCATTTAGTCTGTCTTTGGGCCCGCAGCCACGGAGGGATTGTGCTTCGGAACAGACCTCTGAGAGCTGTCCCTCGCTCTTCCTGGCAGAGGGGACGGGGGACCGCATGCACGCCCCTGGGAAGTTCCCTTTTGCGTTACCCCATTTCCTGCTGCGGGGCTCAGTTCCAAGGAGCCGAGCAACCAGCATCTCTCTGCGGGGATGAAGCAAGG